CTGAAGGTAAACTTGGTTGTGTTTTCCTGGTCCAACATATTCACCATTATATCACAACTACAAACAGATCTCTCACTGTGTGTATATGTGTATGTGTATGTACTGACCCTTGAATCATTTTGGTCTCTAAGTAGAAAAACAAAGAAATATATAATGCTTATGCTGGTTATTTCATATTTTTGTTATTTTTTTTCTTTGTTCCTACTACATTTCAACTACAAACAGATCTCTCACTGTGTGTATATGTGTATGTGTATGTACTGACCCTTGAATCATTTTGGTCTCTAAGTAGAAAAACAAAGAAATATATAATTTTTTTGCTGGTTATTTCATATTTTTGTTATTTTTTTTCTTTGTTCCTACTACATTTCAAGCATAACATTTCTAGAAAAATGAGAGCTAGAAAACTGTATCTGACAAATAAACCAAGAACTCAAAAGATTTTAAAAAGAGCCTTTACAGCATCTTTTGCCATCCGTGGAGATGCAAACTCCCAACTCTTGAGTGAGGCTATTTATCATTGTAAACTTTCCAGAATCTCTTTGCTACTTTTCCTGCCTGAGATTTAATGTTCTCATGAAAGGGAGGGTCTTTGCTCTGGCAAAGTTTTACCATTCTTCTCATACAGTGATTTTGACTTATAAGCTCATTCCTTCAGATATGTAGGCAATTTGTTAGCAGTTGTAGGGAAAGAACAGAGCATTTCAGGAGACAGTATGGCTAGATGCTAGCGTTTCTGGAAGCTGTCTGAGACTAGTTTAGATGGAAAAATCTACAGCCCAATCCAACACATACACAAAGAAACTACTAAAAACGCAGCAAGAGAAGTTATTTCTCTGATTTTTCTTTAGAGCAGATGGTGTTGGTAAAATGGGCTATCTGAATAAAAGCAATTATTTGCAAGACTATTTTCCATCAGACTAAAATGCTGACAAAGTCCAAAGCCACAAACAATCAAATTAATGAAAATAATTATTGTAGGCTGTGTTGTATGAGATAACTTAGATGATGGTTTCCTCAGTACCAAACAAGATGCCTGTGGCATGGATGCAAACAAAACTTCAATCAACTGAGCATATTTTGATTATGTTTGCTTTCACCACAGTACAGCCCAGTAGTTAAAGCACATTCCTCCTTGTTTTTTAAACCCTAATCTATATTGGCTGGAGCAATGGCTGCGGAAAACTAGCCAGGGATATAAAAGCTTGCAGAAGATGCAAGCTTTAGGAGACCTAGTTGATGAAACCTCTTAGCCATAGCAACAAACATCAACAGGGATCATATGTGTTCATCTGAAGCCAAGGGAGGCTGATCTGCAAAAGCTAACACAGGCCTAAAAGAGTCTTGCCTGAGGCCTTCAGGATTGTAGTAGAGACATCCCAATCCCAGGATGGCAATATTTCTGCTTTTATGGAACATGACATTCTTGGGAAGGAAGCCATCACACACAGGAAAAAGGAAATGTTCCCTAAAAACAAGACTGGGCAGGGTCTAAATGCAATTAGGCCTTCCAATTTTTTGAAGGGTAGCAAGAAGTTATCTGGTGATGATATCAAAAAGGCTGTGGCCACTTTATTACTAATGGCAAACATTAGTAATAGTGATATGAAATAATCCCTAATTTGGAATTTTTAAAGTCACAAGTAGTGCAGTCAATGTTTTAATATTGTTTTCTTTTATATGTGGCATATGTACTATGGATTGGAGGCATAGACTGTAACTGATTAAGAAGAATGTACTAATAATTGTATCCTGATGCTAAACTCAGAATGCTAGATAAGAAATTAAACTCCAGAACTTCCAAGATGACTTCCTCTGAAATGCTAGGTATTCCAAGTGGAAAACTGAAGAGTTCTGTTGGGAAGTTAAGATTCCAAAAGTTAGGGTTTGGGCTGGCTGGGCATTAAGAGAAAGTTTTGGGACAATCCAATTGTGCACAAGCAGGGAAAACATCTCTTAAGCCAATATAAAGCCAAATTGTTGATGCTTAATATAAAAAACATGGAGAGCAATTAAATTGACCCATGGGGAAAAAACAAGAGGATATGGGAAGCATCTGATTCAGAATGAATCATCCTGGGGGCATCTGAATGAAAAATATTTCTGGTCAAATTGGGGATACGTGGGACTAAGGAATGAATGAATGAATGTGCAGTTGGACATGTTAGCTAGTCCAACAGTCCAAAGATTTTATGGTCTATGATTTATCCCTCTTATTTATTGTCAGGCATATATATATATATATATATATATAGAGAGAGAGAGAGAGAGAGAGAGAGAGAGAGAGCACATACAGTTTTCCCCTTACAGTAATGGTAGGAATCTCAACTTCAGAATGAACTGGACATACTTGATGTAAAAGAAAAACATAGAAATAACAGAATACTATTGGAATCAAGGGAACCCCCAGAATAAGCTATATAAATCAAATAGATCCACTGGGCAGAGGGAACAGAGCTGTTCTATGTATCAAAGACAGCCTTGTATTAAACTAGAAACTTCACAAAAGGATAGGTTCCACTTTAGAATCACTGTGGGTGACATTTAGCAGAGGGCAGAAGTAATTCAATGCAGGAGACTGTGCTACTGCTTCCTAGACCGAAAATAATCAGAGTGGTGGGTTCTATGATCCTCACATGAACTCAGTACATGAATTTGAGAAACTGACAACATTTGTCTTATTTGGCTACATTCTAAGAGAATTAGTTGTGGAACTGAGCAGAAGGAAGACACGCCAAGAATTAATGATAAGTGGCATGCAGGGATTTGTGCAAGACATAAATGTTGTAGAATTGAAGGAAACAGTGGCAAGTACAGTTCTGTAAGAGATGCATGCTGAAGCAAAATTACCGTAACAGGTAATAGGGATATGAGCTACTGGTGACCGGGTCAGGAAAGATCTTGAGGTCATGGTGAATAATGCATTAAATGAGAGAAAATTAGTGATGAGCAGAGGTGAATTCTATGTCAGTGTTTATCTGGAAAATAACCAGAACTGTCAATATTGGAATCTGTAGCACCATACCTCAGAGCCCAGCTCTGTAGAGCATACGTACCCAGACTTCTGATAAAAGTCGGAAAACCGGGATTCTATTTTACACCTTTAACTGTGAACAAACCTTTTCCTTGTGTGGCAGACTTCCCTTTCATGCAACATTTCATGCTCAAAGGAAGGCATGTAGAACTAGGTATCCATCCCAGCTTGAAAATAAACCCCAATGCATAAGAGTGTCTGTTACTCAAGAGCTAGGGTGAAAATGAAGAACTGAAGTGAATATAAATAAGGCACTTCGACTTTTTATATACTCAAATGGAGTAATCAGAGAATGACACGACATACCTCTACATACATACATTTATGTGCACACAAGTAACATGTAATTCCATATACTGTGTACTATATATAGATGTATATAAAACCCATGCCTATTACTTAAGAATATTTTTTCAATGTTTGAAGCTGCCTACAAAGCACTTTATTCACAACATTTTCAAATGTTGATTTGAATAAAATACAGACAGATAGCAGAGGGTTAACCTGAACAAGGGGAACTGTTCCTTGTTTCCATCATAATGAAGTTGTTGGATTTCTTTCTTTTTTCCCTCAGCATTTTTACCTCTCCATCCCTCTTATTTATTGTCAGGCAAATGTACACAAAATGCTTGCTGTGATTAAGCCTGAAAACAGCATGCAAGATGAGCAAGATAGAAACAGGGAAAAGAAACCAGACTTCCCTGCAGAATCATTTTTATCTTTTTTCTAACAAACACCCAGCTGATCATGGGCTTATCATGGGAGAATTTCTCCCATCCTTCAACCCAGTCAGAAAAGAAGGCACTTCCCATGCGACTAAGCATTAATAATTTTGTCTGAAGAAGTATCTCTGGGAGACAGATTCATTTCCGACTGGCTCCAAGTAGGCTTGGAGCAGATACCTTTACACTTTGCCCGAGTCTAGTCATACATGACTAATTTAAACAGACTGGTAAGCCTGGAATGTTTGTGCGCTTAGGAGCTGAAGGTGTCAGAACAACAAGACTCTCAGGAATACTTTAAGGAATAGCTCCCATTCTTTGACACACACACACACACACACACACACACTTTATTTCCAGGACCTTAGCATGGTGTTTATCCACTTATTAATT